TTCTGTAGATGACAAGTAATCAGAAAACAAATACATATCACAACAAGGTGCTTCATTGGGAAAGCGTTGCTTCCACAAAAATAAAAAAATATGTTAATTGTTTAATACATTTGAAATGACTACGCTTGAAACTGGACCAACATTTATTGTGAAGCTGTCAACACCAATAGCATTTGATAAGACTATAATGATCTAAAAAAATTTAACATCTAAAGTGAACCACAAAGAGAAAACAAAATTAAGGGAAAATTTGAGCAAAGAAGCAATCACTGAATAATGAAGCCAAGGTCCTATTTATCTCCATGACAGTGTCATGATTTTTTTATTTTTTTATTTTTTTTAAAATCATCTTGATGGTGTTGTATTTGTGCGCCATATTTGTATTCTTTCATAATCTATTTTCCAAACCAAATAAAAACAAAGAAACAATACAAAAACAAGTAAGCAAGATAAATAATAGCACTATTATGATGCTACTAAGAGACAACGTGAAGGAGGAACCTAGTTCTAGATCAACTATTTTATTATGTAATTCCTTTTCAATCAATAAATCAATGACAAACCTGTTCCAGCAAGATAATTATACATCAGCAACACAGTTACACTCAGCACCTTGACTAGTAAAATTGGGAGAAATTACAAACATAATTTGGATTTGACGATGACTTGGGTAGAAAACAATGCCAACTTCTATCAGTGAGCTTTCATCAGCCTGAGGTTCTTGTTGGTCTCCGATGAGAAAGAAAGACTTGGGAAACGGCAGCTTTGTGTTATGTGGACTTTATGGAGGGAATGCAACATGAGGTCTTTTGAGAGGATCTATACTCTTTTATCTATTCTTTTGGTATAGAGAGGAGTGTCCTTTCTCAGTTATTTACATTTTACTTGCTAAAATAAACAAATAAATAAAAATCACACATCTATGTAAGTTGAAGTACTTAGCAAGTGATGATTTAAATGTAGCTTTATGTACTCAAAATGTACAATGATCACTAATGATAAGATGTCAATCAAAGAATGAAATAAACGAGCACCTAAATGGGGCTTGTTGCTATAATTGGCATGAAGCCCGCTGCACTCTTTTCTGCAAGTTTGTTATTGTTGGAAGGCTGGCCAACAAAGTTCAATCCGTTAAAAATCACAGTAGAACGAAACTTGTTGTTTTTCAGTTGGGTTGTCTTGTAGGTGGGTGCTCCGTGTCCAGCCCTGGCAAGCAATGTTTGGAGCTCGTTCTTGGAATTATCACCACCACCATCAATACTTCTCAAGGGCGTGCTTGGCAGCATCTCTTTTGTGATCTTTTTTGAAGATGTTGGTACCTGGCGACCAAAAACAAATCTACCTTCACATTGATCCTCTGATACCAATAGTCTTACCGCTGACAGGAGCTCATAGTGATTTTTTATTTCCATCTTGGAATTCAAAAGCTACATCAACAAACTACAGAACGATAAAACAAATAAATAAAACAGTCAACATCAAATTGCGGGTATTTCTCACTTCAAATTAAGAGTGAGTGAGAGAAAGATTCAGCCTTGAAAACTTGGCCAAGGGTTTGGAATTTTGCCCATATTTATCCATCCCTTGTGCCAAACATAACTGTGTTGCAAAATACTTACTTTCATTTGAATAAGTTCTTCAAGCTCATTCTTCAATCTTAGATATGTATCTGCCAAGGAAGGTTTCATGAAAAACTCCAAGTATCCTCCCAACATTTTCAAGTGTCCATCCGATGCAAAAGCAGGAAATGATCCCAGTAAAATATATGGCACAATAAAATGAAAGAAAATTAATTATCATGGATATATTTTGCAAGAACCGATATTGCTGATAATATCACCTACAGATGGAAAAAGAAACTTACCAGGCCACCTCTAGAAATCTTTCCTCCAAATAAGAGAAGCACGGAATCAGATACCGCAGTTGAATCCCGGAGAAATACTGATTCACTTTAACCTTGTCATTGAAAACCAGCCAAGGGTATGGAATTTTGGGTTCCTGGGCGTTCACAAAATTCTGGGAGAAAGAAAAAGATAATGCTATCCACATTAGAACTCAAAAATAGAATACCTGAATCTGATGATTGTTTTAATATTAAAACATGTTTATGGATGATGCCTTGCCGAACACCATACCAAAAAAGAATTTCTTATAACCTTCTGCGCATTTCTATAGATGACAAGTAATCAGAAAACAAATACATATCACAACAAGGTGCTTCATTGGGAAAGCGTTGCTTCCACAAAAATAAAAAAATATGTTAATTGTTTAATACATTTGAAATGACTACGCTTGAAACTGGACCAGCATTTATTGTGAAGCTGTCAACACCAATAGCATTTGATAAGACTATAATGATCTAAGAAAATTTCACATCTAAAGTGAATCACAAAGAGAAAACAAAATTAAGGGAAAATTTGAGCAAAGAACCAACCACTGAATAATGAAGCCAAGGTCCTATTTATCTCCATGATAGTGTCATGATTTTTTTATTTTTTTTAAAATCATCTTGATGGTGTTGTATTTGTGCGCCATATTTGTATTCTTGCATAATCTATTTTCCAAACCAAATAAAAACAAAGAAACAATACAAACACACGCAAGCAAGATAAATAATAGCACTATTATGATGCTACTAAGAGACAATAGGAAGGAGGAACCTGGTTCTAAATAAATAATAGCACTATTATGATTGGTTGCTACTATTTTTGTTGCTGCTAATGTGCTGTTTTGTGGTAAAGGAATGTGTCTAAGGACTGCTAAAAGATTTGGTGTTAGGTCTGATGTCTAAGGCCTGGTGTAAGGTTTGAATGCTGCTATTCAATGGATTGGTCTAGTCTGTTTGATTGGTCTGGACTGTGCAACTATTATGAGGTTATGAGGCATCTGTGCATTTTGTTCTTCTCTTTCTTTTGGTGTCTTTTGATTGGTTTCTCACCAATCTTGGGTCAAGTGCTTGCAAATAATTGTATTTTCTTAGCGGTGCCAACCTAGTTGGGATTGATAAGGTTAGCGTTGATGCTTTTTGCACTTCCCTCTTTGTTAATGTAAGTTTCTGCATGTATTGCTTTCTTCATCTATAAAGTTTCATTTTGCTGATTAAAAATATATATATATATATATATGAATGTTTGTGCTTTTTTTATAAGGAAAATGTCACATATATAATTCTATTTTTTTCACCTTTAGGCACAAGTTAGTAGGTTCTATGTGTATTTATTAATGTATATCTTTTTACCTTCGTTCTCAAAATAATTAAAAAAAATGAAATAAGAAATAAAATTATATATAGCATTACTCATTTTGTAATTTAAATTTGTATTACTGAAAGCATCAATGGTACTTCCAAAATTCAAGAGGTGGGGTATTGGTTTAAGGTGATTGTTTGTTATGAGGGTCCGAATTGGAAAAGGGTTCTGTTTGGTATAAGGTGTAGATGGTTTGTTAAGATCGGTGTTTTGGGTGTTGGGGGTGGTTATTATTTCCTTTGCTTTTTGTTTGTTCGGCTGGTTTCTCTCCAGCCATGGTGTAGTGCTAGTAGATGATTAGCTTGCTTTCCGGTCTCAACCTAGTTGGAATCGTCTAGTTTTCTTTGATGCCCTTAGCACTTGTCTGAGTCGTCTCCCTTTATTGATATTCATCTTTTGTACATCTAATATAAATTTTCTTTTGCTGATCAAAAAAATTTTGTGTTAGTAACATTTTTGTTTAGCTTCTTACATATTTTTGTTTAGCCTGGTATTATTATTTATTGTTACTACCTCCCTGTGTCAAGCATTTCACGGACAAACAACACCCTAACGTTCCGATTGAAGTTCGTTTCGATTTTATTTTAATAATCCGAACCGTTCATATTATAGGGTTCATCGAGTATATTATTCATATAAAAAATAAGATTAATCAAACATGCATGGCCCCATTATCGGACCATAATTGTTTTGAAAAAATTATCAAAATTATTTTAACCGTTTATTTTTTTAACATAAATGTAGTTTGTTATGAGTTATAGATGTCTAATTGATTTGATTTTTTTCATGGATGATCTACTCGATGAACCCTATAATATAAACGGTTCGGATCATAAAAATAAATTCAAAAAAACCCTCCACGAACTCATAACATGGTGTTCCCAGTTTCCATTTTTTTTTTTTTAACAGCAAAAAGGCCCTTTATTGATGTTGATACAATACATACATATGAAACATCAAAGAAAGGATGAGGAAGTCCAAAGCATCAAAGCATCACCAAATCCCAACTAGGTTGGCACTGTAAGGTATGCCCAATCATTTGCAAGAACACGTCAAGGTTGATGAGAATACAACCATAAGACACAAGACCAGCCCAACAAAAGTAGGGCAGCAACAACAGAGCAAATATAAGCAATCCACTACAGAGCTAGCCCCTTGGGATATTATATAAGAAATCATTAATCGAAAAATGAAGCTCCTTGGAAGTAGCCTTCAACCAGATGGAAAGCTTGGTTATAATAAGTTCTTGCAGCTCCTGCAGTTTTTATGGGGAAGCTTGAAAGAAACATTCATTTCTGTGTTTCCAGATCAACCAGAGAGTCACCAGAGGTATCGCACACCAAATTCACCGTCCAGATTTCCTACAGTAATAACCTGACCACCATTGCAGCAGACCTTGAATAGAGTCTGGAACTACCCAATTAACCCCCCACCACTGTAACAGCCTAGACTCTCCACACCTAGGAATGGCAATGGGACGGGGCGGGGTAGGGCCGGGGATTGTACTCCCCGTCCCCGATCCCCAAAGCCATGAAAGTCCCTATCTCCGTCCCTGATCCCCGACGGGGAACCCATCACCACCACCGCCCCTGTCCCCTAACGGGGATCGGGTTTCCCCGACCCCGAAAAAATCCCCGACCTTTTCTGAGCACAAAAGAGACATCATAGTCTCAAGAGAAGTAAAAAAAAAATGTGAATCCAGAATTTAAAATAGTAAAATAGGCAAGAAAAATTTGAAGTAGTGCATAACTCAATTGCACAAACAGAATTGCATACCAAGATCATGATCTTGCTTGAATAAACTTTTTGCCAAATTCAACCAGTGCATAAGAAAAAAAGACAAAATCTGACAATCATTACATCCATCAAACACCTTAACTTAAAAAACCCCAAAACAACTTATCTACACAACCCTTCACCCTAAATTTTCTAGGTTCAGAGTGAAAGAGAATTTCATGCAATCAAGTACATCAATGAATAAAATAAACATTAGACAACCCATTACCCAAATCATTAATCAATCAAAGACCTTAACTTTGGGGGTTTGACTTATTTTCTCACAACACTACAAACACTCAAAAATAAAAACACCAAAAAAAAAAAATACAAGATCTGAGTTTGGGGATCAAAAACCCTAACCACAGCTGAGTTCACTTTCACCGAGATTGATTACTTTGAAGATTTCAGTTCACTTTCGCCGAGATCGGAAACCCTAACCACAACTCTCTCTCACCGAAGACAGCGAGGAGGAGGGAGAGGAGGACAGTGGAGGGAGGGAGATCGGCAGTGATGGAAGGCTTTTAGAGAGAGAAAGAGATGAGAGGCAGTGTGTGGGTCCGTGTGTGTGTGAGAGTTGTGTGAGTGTGAGTTGGTTTGTGTGTGTGTTCGAACCCTACACACACACACATATGTTATATATAAGCAGAAGCAAAATAGTAATTTCACGTCAGGGGGCAACCGGGCCGAGGATCGGGATCGAGGTCGGGGTCGGGCCGGGTCCGAGGCTGAAACGTGTATCCTCGTCCCCTGTCCGAAAATCATCAGGGATTTAATTTTTAATACCATCCCCAGCCCGTCGGGGGTATTTTTTGGGGAATAACCGCTCAATTCGGGGTCGGGGGATCGGGTCCCCGTCGAGCTGGGTTTCAATTGCCATATCTATCCACACCAGAGGGAAAAAGATTAGCACATATTCAATTGTTTCCTACTGAGCTTTGCAAAAAATGCACAAGGTAAATGTCACTACAACAAAAACACATTTGGCGACCCAAAAATTGGTCGCCAAAAGTACAAATTTCGTCGCCAAAAAAATCGGCTGTCACTAAAAGTATTGGCAACGAAATCAGAAATTGTCACCGTATGTAAACATTTAGCGACAAGCAAAATTGGTCGCCAAAAATCATATATTTTGTCGCTATAGAATTACAATTTGTCGCTAAAAGGTTAAAATTTGGATAGGCTATATAGTTTTAGCGACAAATAAATGTGTCGCCAAAAGTACTATTTAACGACAAAATTAATTTGGTCACTAAAAATCACGTTTTTAGCGACGAGTAAATTTTGGTTGCTAAAAGTTCTTGGAATAACCACTAACTTTTAGCGACAAAAAAAATATTTTGTCGCCAAATATATTAACAGCGACCAAAATACCACCTGTCACTAAAAATTCAGTACACAAATTTTGATTTTAATAATTTTCCTGTTCAAAATAATCCAAAACACCTATATTCCTGTGCACAATATATACACAAATGTAATGTAAATAATAATACACCTATGCAAGACATTCATACTAATTCAAAATTAATAGCTATGAAAATCCCAATAAACATAATTACAATTCTCTGACAATCTAAAACATGCATACCAAAGTACTTACAAACTACTAACATCAAACCCATAAATACATTACCAAATCCTATGTCAAAATATTTTCAAAACTACAAAACCAAATATTTTGATACTAAACATTTAATCCATAAATCATTTACCAAAATCCTATGTCAAAATATTTCCAAAAACACAAAATCAAATCTTCTGATGCAGCCCGAACTGTTTTCCACCATTGTCAATCTGTCACATGAAAAAAAATATATATTAGATTGAGAAAAAAAAAAAAAAAAAAAACCTCAATATGAATTTCACAATTTTAATTTTAATTTTGTAACGGGAAGTCCAATCGGGTGTTGTTTGCTCATACAAGTCTATTTAGGATTGAACAAGTTGTTCGTGCCAAGTTTCGGTGGTTTCAGTGGTCATTTTATAATTTTGGCCCCCG